CAGTACAAATATCTCGGAAGTCAGTATTTAATTTTCAGAAAATTACTTTCATTTCAAATATTGTTCACAATGTTGATCTCCATAAAGAGTAATAGACTTTAAATGCTCTATACAGCGTTTTATAAAACCTTGATTTTAATTTTCAACATATAGTCCAGTTACTCAGGGTTTTTACCTCCGAATTCTTTATAACTGAACCGATTGACGTGAAATTTTACTGAATGAGGGGAATGCCTCAAGGAACAAAACTTATATAGTGCCGAAGTGCGCTTTTGCCTTGGGGGTGGTTCCCACCTCTTCTTGGGGGTGGAAATTTTTCCCAAAATAACCACAGAAATCGATAGAGGAGTCAATTTTAAGTAACAAATGTTATATAAAGTTTTTTGGATAATCCAATACTTTCCGAGTAATTCGTCATTGAAAATGTTGATTTTTTACTGAAAAAGTGCTTGTTTTCGGAGAGTTTTTTGCAAATAACTCTAAAACCATTGGATTTAACCAAAAAGTTGTAATGAACAAAAAGAAAGGTAATAAAAAACAAATCTAATGGCATTAGTTTGTTTTTCTCTAATTGCAATATAAACCGAGTTATGGATTTTTAAACATTATTATATGTTAGCTGAAAACTAAATTGGAACCAGTTAACGTTAAATAGCGCCGAAACCATAAATGTTAGGAAAAAAACTATTTGAACTTTTTTTAAAGTACTTTGAAAAACCTTTAAAATGAGCTGTTTTAAAAGTCTTTAGAATCAAAATTATCGGAAGTATGGTCGAAATAACATGATACTCTTATTTTTTTTAAGAAAAAAGTAATAAACAAATCAGTGCCTTTGGCGACAGAATTAAAATTAAGTGCAATCCATTTACAGATTTCTTCATTTATGTTCTAAGAATATGTTCTGGGTCTTTGGCTCACTTACAAAGGATGGCTTCGAAAAAAAAACTTAATTTTTGAAAATGTTAATTTTTCAAATTTTTTTAGAAAAATCGATTTTTACACTGTAACTTAAAAATTAAAGGGTGTACGAAAAAAATACAAGAGTAAACAAATTTAGCTTTATTTTTGCTGAAGATTTGGTTTAAATTTTTTATTCCTCTAAAATTAATATTAATCGAGATATCGCCATTTTAAGTTATCATATGAATGAGAGAACCACCATTTTCGAGCCCTTTAAACCCTTCAAACTTAAAAATGAAGGTCTTATAAAAGATTAACTCTACAATTCACGTAGCCCTTACATTTCTCTGCAAAATGAGCCTTTGTGCGATTAAAAATCTTAAAAAGTAAGAAAGTTATCGTCAAAAAAATAAACACGTGTATAGGTAATAATTTTAGGAAAATTTAGGTCAAACAAGAATATTGAAGCATTTAGATCTTTTTTGTGTACCTATATACGTATTTAGTATGTGAATATTCGAATAAACCAGTACTATAATAAGGAAATAAATGTTTATTTCATACGAATGCACATTTAAAATGTTTCTACTCTTTCAATAATATTTTTTCATTTTATTTTCGAAAGAAGGGGTATTTTTCAAGGGTTGAAAAGTTGCAATCGATAAAAAAGATTTTTAATCAAGAAATCAATTTTAATTTGATAAAAAAGCATGATTAAAAAGTTTCAAGTTGAAAAATAAATTAATTTTATATTATTTTCATCCAACGGAGTGGTTTTTAAAGGTTTTTCCGGGTTGAAAATTTGGGATACATTAAGTTTCATGTTAGATAGCACCTGAAATTACTCATACTGCATAAATAAAAAAGATTTCATTACACAAAATGCTTAAATTTGTAGTTTTTCTTTTTTTTTCCAATAAGGGGTGGTTTCCACCCCTTAAGAACAAAAAGCACACCTAGCGTATACATAAGTTTTGAAGTGGAGGGTAAGATGAGCCTAATTCTAAATTTTGAGAAAAATCGATGCAGTTATAAAAAATTCGGAGGTATTACTATATTTTCAGCTACGCAGTAACTGGGCTAATATCGATTCCGGTGGTTTCAAACTGAACTAGGCATGTACTTTCGTCACACGACCAATAATTTTGAATTTCCATCGCGAAATTAAAGAAAACCGCTCGTCTGTTCACGTATATCAGTGGTAAACCTTTTCAGGCGTAGCACAATAGACGCTCGGGGGAGAGCATCGCCGGCAAGTGCTTTCCAAAGTCCTCTCGACGTAAAGTTGGAGGAAGTCCTTCCGGTATCCGTCCGCACCACTTCGACGATGTATCGGAGCTACTCACGCATTTTTCCGATCCCAAAAGATTCAAATGACGTCCGGCCAAACGAAACCAACGGCTTCGTCATTCACGAAATAACAAATACTGCTTAATTAACGGACTTATTTAAGCTACAACTACTGCTGGTATTATTTCCGTTGCGTTTCTACCATTCATCAGCGAGCTAAACGACATCACCTTGTCGCCCCGCGGACATTACAGATTTCAATCGACACGGCCGTGGAATACTTTCCTAAGACAAACGCTGAAACAAATGAACGTCGCCCGACGCTCAACTTTCAGCGATCAATCAAAGCGCGCCGAGATCCGGAGGGCGATAATGGGCCACAAAGGAAAGAAAGCGGCTGTATTATTTTCTTATTAGACTCATATCGTATAATGCCGGTTTACCAGATAGAGGGGCTTGTTTAGTTAAGCAATATCGATCAAATTTCTTTTAATTAATTGACCATATTTTATTCTACGCTCTTATCTGTGGAGGAATTGGAATGTGGCCGGTAATTAGGGTGTACGGGCAAAGGAGCATGTCCAGTTATTTATTGGAAGGTAAGGAACGGGCAGTAAAACATTTTCAGGGGAAAATAAATATTTTAAATTCACTTTTAATTCTAATAAAGTTGATTTTGTCTCAAATTAGGAGGAAATATTTGCGGGTACCTTGTTTTTAAGATACAAAGCCTTCAAATAGAAAAAAAAAAAGAAATTCGAGCGTTCTTTGGGATTCTGAAAACAAGTGAAAATAACAGCCCCACAAAAAAAAGTATTTGTCAAAATTCACAAAAAACGTAATTTACGATCGACGAAAGTTATAAAAAATCAAATTATTCTAGCTCACTAGAATAGAATATTCTACAAATTTTATTGCATTCTCAATCTTCTAGGCCAAGGGTCGGCAACTGGCGGACCGCGGTCCAGGTCCGGACCGCGGAAGGTAAAATACTAGACCGCCAAAAATTGTTTGAAAGTATAAATTACTCAAATAAATTATTTAAAAAATGTTTTTTACGTTTAAGTGCCAATGTTATCATTTTTTCTAGTATTTTACAATTGTGTGAGTGTTTTGAGTTCTTAATGGTTAGTAAGCAGATTAAATTTGAGTCCAAATTAAAATAAAAAATAAGAAATGTGAATTTTTTT